ACCTTTCTCACAGGGTGTTGTAAGCATTAAACGAGCTAATGTATGTAATACATCCCTAGAGCCTAATACACAGTAAGTGGTCACTTAATGTTATCTATTAATAGCTATTATTGTAAAATATATGCTTATTGTAGACAATGCAAACTCTAGAGAAATACTTAAATCAGAAGGTTGATGTCTTCCAATAACCCACCCTCCATCCTCATTAAGATTTTGATGCTAAATGTATCTCCAGACTTTTTTCTAACAAATGTCTAGATGAGTCAAATAATTTATTTTACTGTATACCTTGTCCTATAGCCTAATTTTTTATAAAGTTCAATTAAAAATATACTGTGAGCACCATTTCTGCAAATATACCTAGATCGCTCTTTCTTTTTAAAGGCTGCTTACTACTCCCATCATTTATTTAACCAGCTCCCTACTGGATATTAAGATTATCTATAGTTCTTTGCTATTATCACCAATGCTCCAATGAACTTCTCTGCTGCACCAATATCTTTGTACTCTAGTCTAATTATTTCTTTAATACAAATTGTTGGGTCAAAAGACAGTCATTTTTTAAAGGTTTCCAAAAACATATGCCCCAAATGCCTTACAGAAATAGAAATGGTGGAAACAGTTGGCATGCCCATCAATAAAATCACAGTTGTCTTTCGAATGTATTGGCATTTATCTCAAGCAGAGAGAAGCAGGTTCATAAGGTCGCAAGTTACAAGTAAACTTCCGCTGGGGTCTCCATTCACAGGCATCTCATCCCCTACTCATCTTGGCCCCTTTATTATACAATAGAAGCAATGTGTCCCGGGTTGGGGCCTGGTGTGAGCATCTGTTAGTTTAGCCCGCCTGGCATCCATTCCTTCTTGTCCTAGTGACTTCCCTGATTTCCCTCTGGGAAAACTACCTTGCTCCCATTTTATGCAGTACTCTTGAAACTGTCAAACAAGGTGTAGGCCCTGGGTAGACCCAAGCTAGATCAACTTGACGCTATCTTTCCTGGAATGTGAATCTTCAGAAGAGTGAGGCAAGGACTACAGAGGGTTTAGAGCTTTATCATTCTGCAAATATTATCCAGAAGACCTTTTCTCATTGGTTCCTGATTCCTAGCTGGTGTATTTTTTAGCCTGGTTCTTCAGATCTTCATACCTTTCTGTGAGTTACCCTACAGATTTCCATATCTTTTCATTATTGTTACTGTTTTGCTGTTGTCATTTTTGCCTAAGTTAGCCAGAGTTAACTTCTGATGCTCTAAAGCAATCCTACCTGATTGAGGGAGGCCAGGAGGAAGGGATTACTTCTTTGTTTCCTTGAATATTTACTTAAATATTTTTCACTTGTTCATTTTTGAGGGACAAACATATTTTCCTCTCATAAA